AGTGATAAAAACCTAGCCTAGTATTCTGTCAATGAATTAAAAGAAAGTTTATCATTAAAACTCAAATAGGGAATTATTATTCTCATTGTCTGTGCTTCATACAAACTAGGAAAATTTAACCGAGTTGGATAAGGGAGACTAAACTTGAATGGATACACGAATGCTCTAGGTGGACTGTTGATTGAAGAAACATAAGAACAGATAGGTTAATTTCCACATCTTCTGCTTCAAAATAAAAAGTTTAAATGTGAAAAATGTCAGTATCTTTTAGTTTGTTAAATTGAAGAGACAAGTCCCTGAGGATCTTTTCCATGTGCATGATTGGCTGACTTAGCCATGTCATGTTAGGGGGAATTATTTTCCTTTAAGGGGAAATGGGAGGCAGAATTTCTTACTCTGTTATTAGTCAAGAGAGTATTACCAAAGCCTTGAGTCCAAGATCCCCAGGAGTAGTCCAGAAAAAATATTTCGCTTGAATCAGGAGCAATGTTCTGTGGCAGAGATTTTATGGCTAAACTGTGGAAACAGAATGTTATTCCAAATAAATTTCCTATGATAAGAGGGGCCAGGACCATAACATCCAATCAATATGATGACCTTCAAGTCCGATTACCTAGGGATACTTGGGTCTTTCTTTTATCTAGGAAATTTATCATAATTGTTCTTAATTTACTAAAATATACTTCAAAAAAGGAAAGAATTAGATGGGGAATGAATGTTATGTGGTCCCTTATGGACCATCAAAATGATGCCTAAGACACATGTCTTCAAACCACCTTATTATAATTTTATACTCATATTTTAGCTCTCACAATCCTTTTCTCCCCATTAAAAATATCTTTCCTAAAAATTATCTATCTAGGAAAAGGAAAATATAAGAAAGTAGAGGGAAAGACTGACTGGATAGAGATATACGGATAGGTATTAAGATAGAAAAGATGAATATTTCATCAACAGTAAAATTGAATGAAGTTGAAGTTAAAACTTGACAAAAAATTAACTTTGAGAGTACCTATGTTAAAGGCTAAACACTATCTACACCCAATTATATGTTGCAAAATATTGGCTGTTATAGGTTATATGTAAGTTTCACAAATGATTTCAGTAATTATCATAAATATGAGTTTTCATCTATAGAAAATACATAAAAATTGGGATATTTCTAAAATATATAGAAGGGTTTTTGTTCTCCATGTTTTAATGTTAAATTATTCTTGTTCTACTTATTAATGTTTAATCCCTTTTTCTTTTTTTAAAGTAGGCTACCAACTTATGCAGCTGTCTATCATAATTTCTCCCCACTGATTCTACAAATTTGTAAGGCCATTGCCTTGTT